GGAAGCAGTGAAGTACCCCACAAACCACACTATGAATTTGAACTTGTCAAAGCACCAAAATATGCAAAAAAGTAGTTTTCTTCATTACCCATTAGCGAAACGATCGTTCTGCTTGCTTATTTTAACTTCCAGATACAAAACCAATGCAGAAAAAAAACATGCCAGTATTTTTATCTGAGTTTTCACGCCAGATAATTTTTTATGTGACGGCGCCCCACTAGTTGTTATTTCACGGATTATTAGAGCCAGTAGCTTGTCCAGCTTCTTGCAAAGATGCACCCCCCTGCACCAATCTTGGCACTCTGCTCGGCCGACATCCACTCCTGCTTTGCTTACGGAAGTCAAAATATGGTTTCTTTTTAATTTTTCTGTAACCAAATTTTGCCTCTTCTCGCCGCCCAGAATGTTGTTTCTTCTCTGAATTTTAAAATAGTGACTGTTAATTTCATCCTTAATTTGCCGTTTTCAGTGCTTTTAAAATTCGTATTCAATTTCAGAACGAAACTGATTTCATTCCTCAAAAATTTTTTACACATTTATTGGTCGGTAATTCAGATGAGTATCTCAGCGAAGATCGCTGGGTGAGTTTGTCGGATTATCAGTTTTAAAAACCATTATATGCTTAGAAATAGCTAGCAACGGCGCAATGAGAAATCAATGGAATCTCGAGTTTTGTGCAGTTTTGTCACAAAGACTTGGAAAAAGCTAAAAAATTTCTTTTTGGACTTCACGCATCCGTATCTAAAAAGTTGGCGTGCCTGAAAGAAAAATTTCAACTTTCCACAGTCAGACATGGACATTGAGGATTCTAATATAAAATTTCTGCTTTCTTGTCAATCTGGTCAATAAGACAAAATGACAAAAGTGTCGTGGATTGAACATGTGAGACGTTCATGATCGAGGCACATATGAAAACAGAAGAAAATGAACAGTAAACTTTCTCGCAAAATTGCTGCCCAGTCTAGCTGAAGCACTTATAAACAGTAAAATTGTCCGAAATTAAAAGCTTATATGCACTTACTGTGAAACCTCGGTGTGCCACAAGTCTGAATTTGAAATCTCTAGGCAGCACTTGAACGTAGAATATCTTTGCAAAATTTCGGCTTTTACATAAATATGCATTTGCTTTTACATAAATATGCGAAAACGTATAATAATCTGCAAGGACTGCTGGTAAATCAGAAGTTTTAGAATTTGCCGAATTAATTGCAGCTTGATGGCCTTTGCCTCAAATTACCGTAATATCGGGCAATTCCAGCAACGGTTCTACGTTCTACATAGTGCTTTGTGAGTATTTTTATGTAACGAAAATGCAAATTAGCGAAGGCTTAAAAAATCGAGGAACATGATATGGATTTTCAGGTGTTCAATATGATTTCGTGCTTCACATCCAGAGGCTCATCAGCTGCCTACTGCTATGGACACTTCGATCCTTCAATGGAATACTGGAATGCCTTGGGTCTATGCATTCCGGCAAACTGCACATTTGCGGCTAAAGCGGTATTTTTATTTCCAGCTCTTCTTCCGATACACTAGGTTTTTCTCGTTGTCTTTAACTTTGTAAAAAGCAGCAAATGCCTTACATAAATTTCAATTCACCAAAACCGTTTCTATTTTAACTGTCAACTCAAAACCTCCTCCAGACGCTAGAAATTAGGTTGATTAGCAAATGCTAACAGCAAGGATGTCGATGGCACCTTCTTTCAATAAAAATTGCTTATGAGCAAGCTGATAGCGGAACCAGT